TGAGACATTATTTCAGTAGTAGATAATAGGATTCAAAAGCCATCAGCATCATTAGCTTATTTTAAATAAGCGATAATCATTTATCAATTTAATGTATTAATAATTTTCATATTTAGAAGTTTGATCTGTGATAGCTTTCTATTTTTCATTTGTCATTATTTTTAATATATATTTTGCATACAAAAAAAAATAATGGTAATAATTTATCTGAAACTTACCATATTATATGAATTAATATTATGATGCGGTGTTTCTCGAACTATTGGGGCAACTACTCTTGACACCACATCTCTCTGAGGTTCCCTGCTTGACCCGCTTTAGGTACAGCACCAGTAGAATTAAGTTGCCTATTTTGATTGCTGTTGTGCATTTTTTCTTCCTATAGAATTTAAATAAACATATCAAACTTTACTATTATGTCTATTATACAACAGACATAAAATAAAACTATAAGTACGAATACAATATATGAACATAAATATTTTGTTGCAAAGCAATGTTGCAAATCAGCAGTAGTTTTTTGTTATTTCTAATATTACTATTTTACAAGGAATTTATTGCGTATAGTACTATAAACATGTACATGTTTTATATATAATTTTAAATACCTGTCCATCGCTGAATGATTAGAAGACTATTTCACTGAATAATATTACAACCCATCACATGTATATAACATAAAAATAAAAATGTTCAATTTTAACAATACATAGATTAACATCTAAAATGCATTCTAGTGCATTCCTCATATGTTTTATTTAATATTGAATGCCAATCTGACACTTTGTATAAAAATTGCACTCAGTGCTACCAACTGTTACAGAATTGAATACAAATTATTTTAGGTTGGTGGCACATGTCCATTTTGTCAACTGTCAACTGTCAAACTGACAACACAAATTGTGGTTAATTCTGACGTTATAGTTATTATTATTATTATTATTTTTACAGATATCAATTTATGGATCGCTTAGAATATAATGTCGCAAAGTTGAACGAAGGTGAATCTTTTGTAATAAGAGAAAAAAATGTGAGATTATATGACGGCGATGTAAAGGTATAGTTTTTTTTTACAATTTATGTATAGATAACAAATTATACATATTAACAAAGTATACATATTATTAAACTTAGTATTAAAGTTTATTACTATACACATTTACTTTGATATACTTATTTTCTAAATTTCATAAATATTTAAGTGGGTCTTATAAAATATTCTTACAATACTCATACTTTGCATTACATTTGTTTGTGTTTATGAAGTAGCATTAATATTTTTTCTGTAGATGAACATTATTGAGCTAGTCATTACGGCCACTTCCACTCAATGATAACAAATTACTTAAGATATATGTATTCAACCATTGAATGCAATTTTTAATTTTGACTTCTAAAACACCGATTTTTAAAATAGTTCTTTTTTATCAGACTAATTTTGAAGGCGGTGAAATAGTTCTTACAAGCCGGCGATTATTTTGGGGAAGGCCAGGCGAGATTCCCAGAGGCCAAACATGTATAACACTGCCATTAAATCTTGTCAAGGGTATCGAAGAAGCTTCTGCTGGGGTTTTTGGTTTCAGCAGAAGCAAAAAAGTTATACTTCATTTATCTCCAGCATCTCCCAGTAATTGCTTTTAAACTTAATAAAGCATGCAAAATAATTCACTAAAAATTTGATTTTAATCTTAGACAAAGTACCTGGACCTTCTGCAAGCAGTTTATATGATTTCATAAAACTTTCATTCAGAGAAGGATATTCATCTGAATTTATTCCAAGTTTAAATGCAACTTTAGAAGCCCAAGAATGGAGTGTTGTAGAAGACAGGTTTGCATTATAAAGAATAAGCTTAAAAATGTTTTTACACTTATTAATTCCTTTGCTAGCTCTCCTGCGCCAGAAGTTAAGAAGTTACCAAATATCAAAACCCGAACTGGGATAGTAGGAATAGAAAGAAGTTTACAAGAAAAACATAAAGCCACAGATGAAAATATTAACCAAGCTTTTCAAGATTTAAATAAATTAATGACGATGGCAAAAGACATGGTCAATATTAGCAAAAGCATCAGCCAAAAAATTCGTGTGAGTTTACACACATTTGTAGTTATAATTTTTTGAATTGTTATGAACAAAAACTCAAAATTAAAATATTTCAGGATCGGCAAGGTGATATAACACAAGATGAAACTGTAAGATTTAAATCATATTTGTTAAGCTTAGGAATAGACGATCCAGTAACAAGAGATGCATATCAAAGTGACTCACAATATTTTAAAAAGCTTGCTAATCAGTTAAATGAGATATTATTGCAACCAATTGAAGAAATTGGTGGTATGATGTCTTTATCAGATGTCTTTGTTCGAGTTAATAGAGCTCGTGGCTTAGAATTACTTTCTCCTGAAGATTTATTAAGTGCTTGCAGATTATTGGAACCTCCATTAATGCTTCGACAATTTCCTAGTGGAGCTATGGTTTACAGCTGGAAAGCCATAGTGACATATCAGTGATAGATAGCACATTAGAAGCTGTGAGTAAAAAAGGATTGAAAGTAATGGTTTCATATCTCTTATTAATTAAAATTTGTTTATAGTTGGAGCAGAATGGCTTTTTAACCCCACAATTATTAGCAGATATCATAGGTATTCCAATTCTGCTAGCTCATGAACGTTTGCTTACAACAGAATTAGCAGGAAAGGCATGCAGAGATGAATCTTTAGAAGGATTACGATTTTATCCTAATTTATTTTTAAAAAATGAAGAATAGTAAACTTCAATATACTATTCAAAAATAATATATAAATCATACTACTAAATAGAAATTATAATGAATTCATGTAGGTTGAAACCAATGTTATATTTAAAAAAAAAAAGTTTTTGATTATCATTTATGATTGTTACTTACTGCCTTATTATTTATTACATTAAAAAAATGTGTATTAAAACCTTTCTACTATGAACAATTAATATATAGCTTGGATAGTTTTGTTAAAGAGCTTAAAATTTGTATATTTTGATAAATAAATATAAATGCAATTAATAAATAAAATTTTTCATGTGTAATAAAAATTTGTACATACATCGTTTTGAAACATTTTCAATTCATTAATTGATTATTTATCTGGATTATCTTGTCGTAGAATCTCCAATTCTTCTGTTAATGCGAGCAATGTTAATTCTTTCTCAGCAATAATGTCTTGGAAAGCAGAATGCTCTTGTGGAACATATCTGACACCGGACACATAAAAAGCCTAAAAATAAATTATGTAAGTATTCACAAAAATTATTTCCTTTTACAAAATAAAAATTACCTTCAACCAAGGATATTTTTCGATAGCTTGTGTCATAGTATCCATAATTTTTTCAGATCCATTCTCATATAAAAATTGCAAATATATCTTCCAGATAAAAGGACATTGAGTTAAATATTCATCTTTCATTACTTCATTTATGATAGACGATTGCCTGTTTTTATATGCAATTCTTTCTGTATCATCAAAAGCTATTGATTCTTTCAATTTCGCAAAACACATTAAAAGAGTAACCCCTAAAATACTGTGTGAAAGAACTCCTTTTATTTTTGTCCAATGTAAAGGTAATGCCACATATGCCAATAATAATTTACTATTATTCGGATATTCTGAAATTGCAACTTCTAAACAATTCTGAAACCATGCAACAAATTATTATGATATAATAATAAATAGTCAAATTGAGCATTATTAAATAATTAAAAGGTGAACTCACATGTATGATCTTTTCTTCTGAGTGCAAGTAACTTATACCAGCAACCCATTCAAATAAACTTTCTTTTATTAAAAAATGAACGTTTTCGCTCATTTTATTTATATACTCTATAGCTTTTTGAAATCCTAAAGTAAAATACACAAAATATGCACCACAACATATAAAGTGCTCTTGTGTAATTGGTAAAATTAAGTGTGATGTAACATTTTTCAATTCTGTACAACAAGGTGCTTCATAAAATTTTGTCACTATTATGGGTATATCAAAGTTATTAAATGGTTCTTTATGCACAAGTTTTGCTAGCATCTTCAGGTACAGTTGTTTATCAAGATTTTTACTGTCGCTAATTAAATTATAATCTATACAAGTCCTAATTAAATATGACAATTCAGCAACTTCATAATTTCCAGAATTCATTAGAGCCATCATTGTATTTAATCCACTAGATACATCAGATATGCAAGCTTCAAGTTTTGCATATTCTACATACAATATAATTGAAGACTTTAAATTATTATTTTCTGATAATAATGTCTTTACTTTCTTCTTAATGCTTTTTGCATTAATAGTTTTTTTTGAATATTTCATCAAATTTATATGCATCATAATAAATCTGATATACAACAACTATAAAAAAAAAAAAAATAGATTGTTTTGAAAGTCATTAAAATTCAATCCAAACTTACCCCAAATGCTAATTTATCATATTCATCTTTTGAATAATGCATTAGATTTTTTATTAAAGTAGTTGCGAAATCATAGTAATCAGAGGTGAATGGACGTGGACCCCAATATTGAGGCCCATCAATGATTGTGGATAACATATCATACAAAATTTGCATTATATCAGAATGCTTCTCATTTGTCTCATAAAACGAGTATAGAATATGTTCACAACTATCAATATGCCATGTAATTTCAGTCAAGCCTATTACTCCATAAAATGAGTAATTTTTTGGTAAAATTGGTATCTGAAAAAAATAATTTCAAAAATAAATATTGCTTAACCCATAAAAATTATTTATATAAAAATGCATCTAGAACAATATAAAATGCAATGACAGACTTTTTTTTTTTAATATTGAAAGGAAAAATTTAATTAAATAACTAACTTACCCTCAAAACAGATAATATATGTAAAAATAAATGAAATTTCGTAGTATCTTCACTAAATACTGTTGTCAAGTCATCCATTTCTTCAATTGTAAGATTGCAGGCCAAATTGCTAAAATCTGTTTTAACTGTACTCCAATTGAAAGTTTCACGCAAAGATTCAATTCGATACCAAATTTCAGATAATGGTAAACCAGATTGAAGAACCGCTTCTTCCAGTTCTATCAAAATGCTGTTAGATATTTCTGGAAATTTAAATATTTGTGATAGCTCACAATCACTGCAATTCAGCCACATTGTGTATTCCAAGAAATACAACAGCTCCTTCCAAGAACCCGTTTGCCTAAGAAATACTGTAACACGCTGAAATAATTCTGAAATAAATTATATTCAGATACAATATTGCATCTATATCGCATATGAGTTCTTAACAATAAAAATATTTACTGAATAAAACTCCTTTGTTGCATGTGTGTTGATGACGAAATTTTTTAAAACAGGTCATTGCTTTCTGATACAACTCTAATACAACAGTTACATTGCATTCTGAAATTGACTGCTGTGTGCAATCTATCAACGCTAGCCACAATTGAAAATTTCCAGAATCTATAAATAAAGATTCATATTATTTATTTTAAAATAATCTACTAATATTACAGAAAATATATTTAATATACATAATGAAATTCTTTACCTTTCTCTGTTTGTTCCATAATAATTTTAGTAAAATCATTATGCGAATAAATTTTTCTATTGCACTGAAACCATAAATCATAAAGTTCTGCATTCCGGGGGTTCTTTTTTAGAGCTTCTTCTATAATACTGATTTGTCTCTCTGTTATGGCTTTAACATTACCCACAGAAATATTTTTTGCCTATGTATAAATAAATATTTCTTTTGTTATTTTGGGCCATAATAGATATTAAATATTTCTTACTTGTGCGTTAATAAATTCCTTCCACAAGCCAATATTATTTTCATCATGTGATAACAAACTTTGCAGACTTTTCAATTCATCATTCAAATTAAATATATTTGGTTTGGAATCTAAAGTTTTTCTTTTTAAATACCTCTTAGTTTTCTTTTTTGTTTTTCGTATTTGAACATAATCCTCCTTTCTGCATTAAATTTAACTTTAATTAATATATATCTGATATATTGAATATTTACCAAATATGTGCAAATAATACATAATGCAAAAATTAATAAAATTTTATTTTAAGTAGATATATTCACAAATATTCATACCTTTCTATTTTTCTAGCATTTGAATTATCTAATAAATTATTTTGATTTCCCATGGAATCAATAAAGAATAAATCATTATCAGAAGCATCGCTCCCGTGTTTGTTACCATGTGTATCAACTTTTTGTGGAAATTCAGATTCAGTAATTAATTCAATGTTTTGTTGATCAACACTACCTTATAATGCAAAAATAAACAATTTTAAATCAAAAATGTTTTTCATACAACGAGCATCAATGAGATTCTGTATACCTTCTTTTTCTGTTTTGTCATCACTATAGGCTTTGAATAATGCCATTACAATATTTATGAAATAATTTTATAAAGCATCAAATCTGAGCAAATGTCAAATTTATAGGTTGAAGTCAAAATAAACCGATGTTGCGCCATATTTTGAAATGCGATTCAGAGGTACCAACATATAACACATTAAGGTGCGTCCACACCTAACGAACGAACATGTCGAACAAGAAAATACAAAGAAGAACGAACAGGAACACGAACGAACGCGAAAAATTCCAAACGAACTTAAACAAGCGCTTAAGAGCAGTGAGCGCTTGAATTTTCGTTGTTCGTAAATGTTCCGTGAAACGTCAGTTTTATTATTGATATGGATGTAAGCTTTAATCATACGGCATTTTCACTGGTTTTTGTGTGATTTTTGTTCGTGTATATTTTGTAAATATACTGTAAATAAATTATTCAATTAATTTCACTCAATTTTTGTATTTAATATTTATATTTTGAGTCGTTTTCTTTCCTCAGCATTCATATTCGGAGCAAGCTGAACATTCCAGGCTTGAGCCTAACTATACTCAATTTTCAAACTCTCATCCTCAACATATATGTTGAATGTCTATGTATGATAACAAGTTTAATATTTACTTGTAAAGACTGCAATTTCTTCTTTACTGCAGCTTCTGACATCCCAAACGTTCTGCCTACATTTTCCCAAGCATCGTTTTTTTTTCTAATAATTTTATAAAAAGGGTCTTTAGTCTCCCATATTAAAGGAAAAAAATTATTATTAAATTATTAAAATTATTAAAACAAAAATGTTCGTTTGCGTTCGTTGAGACGTCCACACTGCAAATACGAGTACCAACACGAACGAACAATTCCCTTTGATGTACCGACAAGTTGCGGAACATTGCTCGCCATGTTTGTTTATGTTCGTTCGTGATCGTCGTGGCGTCCACACTATGCTGTTGCCGTTCGTTCTGGCACGTTCGTTTATGTTCGTTCGTGTTCGTTCGTCAGGTGTGGACGCACCTTTAGAAAGACAAAAAGAATTTACCATGCAGACATCGAGTTGCCTGATGTTTACAATCCTTCGCTATTCTTATAACCGGTTCCGGTTCAAACCTTATAACAGGTTCTGGTTCAAACCTAATAACCGGTTCCGGTTCTAACAATGACAAAACTAACTATAACATTCTGCTTTAAATCAAATTTTTAGCTTATTTAGTGCTACAATAAAAAAAAATCAATCGAAATATAATAAAATTCAAACTGATTAATATTTAATATATTTGGCATTGTATTTTTAATATTACTTATAAAATTGTAATTTTCAATTTTCTTAAAAAAAAAAATCAATTATAAAAATAACTTACTAATTCATTTCTTCAATAACATTTCATATAAAATCTAACAATAAAATAATTATAAATATGGTCCCCATCCTATATACATTTGACATAAATTATCAATACTGGTTGCTTCGAGTATTAAATAGTTCACCTGACCTTCACAGGATAATGTGCTTTCCAACTGATCACTTCTAACACGCACCTTGTAAAATTTTAAATCAAATTACATCATAAAAATTAAGACAAAATATAAAAGAACAGAATTATGAATATAAAACAAACTTACAATGCCTTTCAGTCTTTTTTCAATATTCTCCACAGATCGCATAGATTCTTTATCCATTCTCTCAGTGGATACTGACTTTGATGTATTATTAGATCTTGAACTCCATGACAATAAAGGGTCATAAACAAAAGGTCTTAACACAGACATTAATGTTTCTCGTTGCGCTCTCAATATATTCATTGTAATTTCACATGATTTCCTGTTGTAAAACATATTGAAAGTTCATATTTCACAAACAATAAAGATATGGGATAAATAGATAAATAAATTAATAATGATGTTAACTTGCCTGAACATTCCTTCGACACCTGTAGGCCCCATAGCCTTCACCATATTATGTGTCATTCGGAATGGAACCCGTTCTGGATATTCAAAAGCTAAGCCTTTATTAAAAAGGCAATTAAAATCAACATGCATGGTGTCACCATTTGTCGAATCAAACAAAATATTCTCACCATGACGATCTCCTAAGCCTGACACATATAAAAACATGTATCTAATTGAAAGCCCAAATTAAAACAAGTCAATAATGCTATTTACCTAAAATATATCCAACCATAGAGATGACAGAAGTAGTACGGATATAAGCACATTTGGCCTGATACCATCCATGTGGATCAGGGAAATTCAATCTAAAATAAAGAAAGATGTTTATAATAAATTGAGTCTAGATGTAACATAAATAATTAAATAGTATTTGAAGTACCTAAACCATTCTGAGAACACTGGTGGATGGTTTTTAATATAAAATGATAAGAACACTTTTCTTTTGATATCCAGACTTTCCTTTGGAACCCACATAGCCTTCAATTTTTCTGCATTTGTGTAAATTTCTGCAATAGAATATATTTGAATATATAGAACAAAAATATATTTCAAATATTTAAATTATATAAAAGATCTTCAGTCAAAATTAAGATTACCAGCAGAACTGGAGAGGCTGCTCCAATAATTTGACTTTAAAATACAGGTAGCAACCTACATTTCTACAAAACAAAAAATAATATTACTCACGCTTTTCCTTATATATTTTGATTAGCGCAGGTCTCAATGGTATGACATTAGAAATCCATTCAATAATTCCACATTCTTCATTTAATGGCAAAACAGAATATGTTCTAATTTTCAATCTTCTTTCTCTTGCAACAGGATTTTTGTGTAAATATTGGTTAACAATAGTATTGAATTCCATCAAACGGAAATCTTTTCTCAAATCGTCCTTTGGCTTTAATAGTAAGCTATAATTTTTACCATCAGATCCTACCAAAAAATTTCATGTTACGTAATGTTTCATTTCATGTTTTTCATTTTGAATATTCTACCTTTTAAAGAAATTCTCCTTGGTTTTTGCAATGATGCAAGAATTATCACTCGATCTTGTATTCCAGTTATATAAACCATTTTATTGGGAAATGCATTGAAGTCATTTCTATTCCTTTTACCTAAATTAAATTTTAATTAATAATTTAAATGCTTCTATTAAATAGTAGTATTTTTAAATCATACTGTCATAATATTCTTGAGACGGCATAACCATTTTACGAAACTCTTGTACTGGCATCATGATTTGACTGAATTGTGGATCTAAGAATGTCTTCTGAATATGTCTATTTATTGCAGCTACTGTTGTTTCCTATAAATATAAATAGATTTAGACAATTGACAAAAATAAATTCATAATAATAGAACATACTTGCAAGCCATTCGGGATTGTCTTATTTGTTAAATCAATCATTTTTTCTGCCAATATATTAAAATCGTTGATCAATTTCGCAGTATCTGTACCATTTAATCTAGGATCTTGCAGAACTTCGGCACATCTCTGCAAAACAGAAAAAATGAAATACTTTAACATTGATACTCTATTCTATTATAATGGAAGTATATTTATAAGTAATGCTACTCAGATATATATCAATAACTTATAGTTAATAAGTTTTTTAAAAAATTTAAATTGTAATAAGCAGCCATGTAATTTTTTCAATTAAATTCCAACAACTCAAATTATTACCTTATACCGCTGAACATAACTGGATTTATAAACACACAGGATCATCCAAAGTGATTGTTGTGGGTACCTTTGTATTATTTTAATTAATATTTCTTTAAGTTGTGTGTAAACCTAAAATAAAACAAAATAAGAATATATTTTTACAAATTAATAAATAAATATTTGTCACACAAAATCATAATAATTTCTGCTCAAACTTCTTCATTAAAAATTCAATACAATTTTTTTTTACACAAGTAAAATCTTCTTATATTTGAGTATTCTACTATAAACAATATTTGATTCAAACTTACGACTGGCTGTGGATGACAAATTCTTGAAACCAACTGGGAGAAAGCTGTGAAAAATTTGAATGTGGGTAACTTTTCAGCAAAATTTGCAATCATGGCTGTTATTTTGGTTAGTGTCGTTTTGGATGGATCTTTATCTGAAGCAACATAATCCAGCCTAAAAATATAAATATATAGAATTGATAATAGCATTTAAAAATTTGATATACTATTATAAAAAGCTTACCATACACTTAGCATTCTAGGCATTGATTGATATATATAATGGCAACCAAAGTATAAAGAATTTCCATAAAAATGTATAATGAGGCGCTGTAAAAAATATTAAACATATAGAAATGCAAATTCAAAATATAAAAATGATAATTAATTATACATACCGGAGATTCTGTAAATCTGTTCTCAGTTTCATCACCACCAAGTGTTGAATACACTTTATCATAATATTGTGCAAGATAAACTAAACTTTTTTCCCAGTGTTTAAAGACCTATAATATATACCTGATTGTTTATATTTTTCATAAACTTAGTAACCATAATATATTAATACAAATTAAAATAACAAGGTCAATTATTTATTTCAGTTAGTTAGCTTTAAAGGAATGCAACAGAACGTGATTTACTTATAAAATTCAAATTCAAATTTGATTTGTTAATATTTTTAAATAGCTTATCAAATCATATTTTGTTTAATTACGGTTATAATAATAATAAGTAGTATCATATATCATGAAATAGCATTTAAATCTGGTGTTACGACTTACATCAACAGCAGTTTTATAGTTTGTTAAGTTTTCTTCAGTTCCAACATTAACCGAATCATCATTATAAATTGCAATTAGTAACTTAGCTTCAGCACATAATTTTCTGAAAGACAAATTTATAAATTAAGCTAGATTAAACATATATTAAACAAAAAAAAGTAATGCAAGAGTGAAAAATTAAACTTTTCAAAAAAGTAATGATTGAAATTATGGTTTAATTGAATAATGAAAAAAAAAAACACTGTGCTTCATACAACTAAATCTAATTTTAACTGATGAATCTGTTTATTATTAAAGTAAATCTAATAATATGTTCTCAAATACGTTGGATTTAGATATTTATTTTAAAAACTAACCTGTCAGCTATTATTTCTCCACTGGATGCAGTCTTAAATTTATTTAAGTCTGGGAATTGTTCATCAACTCCTCTTACAAGGGCACGAATCGCCGAGGATTGCTCACCTTTCTGCCAGAGCAACTTAGCTTTTTCCACAAAAAGTTCTTTTGGTTTATACATTTCAGCATTTAAAATATATGTATATGCCTGAATGATCCAAAAAAAAGAAGTTTAGTTCAAAAAATCTTATTTTTACTATAAGTCTTTTACTACCTGTTGGTATAATCCAGCTTTTCGTGCTAATCTTACACTATTTATCCAAGATTTTGCAATAAATTCATCTAATATATTATTTACAATACATTCTCGATCAGCCATTATCACCTATTAATATATTGAATAAATAAATACATACAAATATACTTAATTATTAAGCAATAACTGTAGATTTTCATAGAAAGAAATAATATATAAATTCTATTTCAATAATTTACTTTAGCTTGTTCCAAAAATATTCTTCTTGCACATAACACCGGTTCGACAGTAGTACCAGTAGACTCCAAAATGTTCAATCTAACAGCCCAATTACTCAGAAGGTTATGGACAGCTTTTAAAATTTCAACATTGCTTTTACAATTTGTTACCCTGAAACATGTGTGATTTAAATAATTGTGTGTGATATACATGAAATTATGAACCCTAATTGTAAAAGTATATGCATATGCTTACATATGAACTAAGCTGTCAACACTTTCAAACTCATTTAGTATATGCAATTTAATAATATGTGGATATGCTTGTTGATAAGCTCCATTTTCCATTGTAACATTAGTTAAATTACACATTAAGTTAGTCCTCATTGTATCCAATTCCATTTTAAAATCATTTCTTTGTCTATTTTTAAACGAAAGTAAAGCATGACCAAACCGTACTCCCCATTCTGGACTTTCCTTGACTTCTTCTCTAACCAAAAGTTCAGACAAATCATCCCATTTTCCTAATCTCCATAAAGGTTCAGCTAAACTTTCAGTAATGGAACATCCAATTTCATCTTCTATCATAGAAACGCTGTGAGCCAACTTATATGCCATATAAGGTTGATCTAATCCCAGATAACATCGAATCATTCCCAGCATTAAATCACGATCCAAACTTATTTCTTGTGCTTTTATTTCATAACAAGCAGCTGCATCTTGCAATTGGCCTGTAACCTCATGGAATAATATTTGATCTTGTAGAGATGGTTCATGTTCCATTATAGAAAGTATACCAGCAACAGCATCGCCTTCATCTAATTTTGCATAAATATTTGCTAGATCTGACAAATATGAACTAATTTTTTCTTCATTTTCTTCTAAATACCACTCCAAATACAGAAGGGCCCTTGAATATTCCTCACATTCAAAATTTCCTTTGGACAAAACACTTTTATCAAATTTGTTCACAAAATTATATATTGCTTTGTAATGAAGATTGTCTAAAGGATTCTTCACTCTGGGACAATTTACATGAACCCATTCTCGAACCCATCTTTCTAAGAAATCAATGAGCACATATATTGTTTTACAACATTTTATATGTGTATCTTCTTCTATAGGTTTAGATTTTTTTATTGGATCCAGTGCAATAGTTGGCAAATATTTTTTATCTTGCTTATTGTTTTGAATAGTTTTGTAAGAATGAGGTTTTATGTTGATTATTGTCTGCATTTCTTCAAAAATTTGGGTATTGACTTCATCATTATTTCCAAATAAAACATGAAGAATTATATATGGTAGGAATAATATCAATGTCCTTAAATCTCTGTTTAAACTTGGTTTGCAGGAACTGAATAAAACACTAATATCTTTGTTTGCTATTTGAGGAATCAAAGCACTAACCCAAATAAATGCCCATTTACTAAATGTGGATGCACCACTCGACCCGAATATGGGATGTATCCGATCAGGTGACATACTAGGTTGAACAACATAACGAGATGAAAGTAATATAAGCATAACTTCTTGCATGCTTTCTGGTAAAGATTCCCAAATTGCTTTTTTCTCAGTTGGAGATATTTTATAAAACTTCAAAATTTCTTGGATAGCCACAGCAAAGTTATCCATAAACTTGGTATGCTTTTCAAACTGCAAGGCTCTTGATAGTTCCATAAGAGCAGATATAGCAAATGTGTCATCTGTTGCACTAAATGTAAAGACAGAGGTATCCTCAAATCTTCGGGGTAAGTGACTTGGTTCAATTGCACCCAACTCTCCTAAACACCTTGCGTAATCCAACTTTAAAGTCTCACTTTCTCTAGTTCCGGTTACAAGTGCATCTATCAATTCAACGATTACTGGATTCATCATATCACTACTAAGAATTGCATCATTAAGTTCTTGTTTATTATCTGATAACAGTTTGGTGACATACTGAAGTGCATATTGCCGCACTTCTATATCTTCATGTTTCACTTGCTTTAACAATAGTTTTAAATTTTCAATCATACTATCCGATTTAACTTGTTGAATGTGCGAATGGACTATCATTTTAATATTTTCATCAATATTTAGTTCAGATATAAAAAATAGGTCTGGCATAAAAGAACTTAAAAGACTTTCATGATTTATAACCAAGAAACTAAACAAGTTATTTACTTCAGTATAATAATGATCTAATAAGGGTGTTAAAGAAACAAATATTGTACTAAGCAATGATCCTAAAGATTGAATATTCACAGTGCGAATGAATGCATTCCAAGCATTTATATGCAGCGGACCATATTCTTTAACATTCAAAGATAATGCTGATCTAAGTGTAGCCATTACCTTAAAACGCAAAGGTGTAATGTATTTATCTCCCATTAGTTCAATCAAATCCGTTAAACTCTCCAATACTTTACGTTTAACAGAATCTGCTACTTGACTATTGACCAATTGACTTCCAAATATACCCAAAACTCCCAAAAATCTTGGATGCAAAAAATCAATTACTTGTGAAAGAGGTCCATCAACTACAAAACAATCGTCATCTTTTGAATAGTCAGGATCAATACTGGCTAAATTTTCACAAGCAGCTATAACAGCTTCCTTATTTGAATGATAATGAACAATTAATTCACTTATCATCATCTGAAATAAATAATGCATATAACTGGGTTCATACAAGTAAGTATACAATAAAATAATACCCTAAAGTCCTTTCTTTTCAAATCCCTTTCTGAACAATGAGTAATTTTTGTAATAAATTTCATAATATTACTAGTCATAGTTGATGATTCATTCAAATATATTATAGGATAAATTTTGAAAAATAACTCCGACAGTAGGGTGGAAGGTCCCTTCTGCACAAGCCTTGCAATTTCTGTTAAAAGTGGTTGCGATTGAGGTACCTTAAAAATAAATTATACCTTAATAAAACTTTATTTCTCTGTAAGTAACATTAGTTATAAAATTTTATTTACCTTAATAAACCAAGGAATCAGACAAGGAAGAATGTGATGAATTTCTTTAGAGAAAAAGTCCCGATGACCTTTAAAACCAAAAGCTCGAGTTACCTTAAAATATAAAATATAATTAGTTAATATATGCAAAAATGCAATGCCTTGTTCTTGAAATGACTTACTTTAAATGTGATATCTCCCAGACTAAAATTATTACAATGGTAAAATATAATAAGATCTGATATCTGTTGACAAAATTCCTTTTTGTATTTGTGAAAAATAAAATTCTCAGTTAAATTGTAATGTCTTGTAATTTTTGATAGAAATAACATAGCTAAAGCTCCATAAGGTGTCTGAGGACCCATCAAAAATTGTATTAAAAGTTGTGTACATGGTTGTAGTAAATCTTTAGAATCTGCTAAACCCAGCTCTTGAATTAAATTTAATATTGATTTTTGTAAAACTAAATTATTCTTGTAGAAGCTCATTTTTACTATATTCCCCATTTTTGTAAGTAGTGTTATAATAATATGCTCTTTTGAGTCTTTTGTAATTTTTTCGTTTGCCTACAACATGAAATCAAATATATGTTAGCATTAATAATTTTTTTTGAAAATGTAAAAAGTTCATTACAAATATCATACCAAAACAATTGTTACAAGATTCCTAAATTTTCCACAAAAGTCTATTCTGATTGCATCATCAGTATAGCCACAATAGTCAATCCAAATATGAAGATTAGGACTTTGAAAACCAATATCAGTATGATTAAATATAGGGGTAAGGATATGCAATAATGCTTTTCGTATTTTAGGATTAGTGCTTTTAAAGTGATTTAAATAGTTTACTACAATACCATCAAATACTTGTGGTTCAACATCAAATTTTTCATTGTAAAATATTTTTCCATTCGTGATCTCTCTCGTAAATTCTTCATGTGTCTTACACTTAGAACAAATCAGTTCTAATTCAAAATTATTTTTGTGCATATTCTTCATCACAATAATGGAATTTCCAGAACAAATACATAATAATTTTGGTAGTACATAGTCAATTACAACTGATGCCTCATAGTCAGTAGTTGATATTAGTCTTGAAAGTAAATCCAAGATTACATTCGATGGTAATATTTTGTATCTGTATAAATGTGGTAAACATTTTAGAGCCTAAAATAATTTAAAATTAAGAAGTCATCAATTTGTGCATGTTAATATAGTATATCTAAATCATACCTCAATTCTAATTTCTTGTTGTTCACAAAATAAACAAGATTTTAGAATTTTTTGAATAATGTTTTTTATTTTCATATCAACCTGAAGAGGTAAATATGAAAGTGCCTTTAAAATGAATATTTGAATATTCAGCCTGTCTTCCTGTAACCATTCCTTTGCGAACAAGTTATAAACAAATGGCTTACAATGAGCTTTGATGTCAGGTACTGATTTTATATTATAGGAGCATAATATTCCAATTAAATGATTAAAAGCATTTGCTGTTAACCTTCTTTTGTAAGTTATTAGTAATAAATTTCGAGCTATCTCAACCACACTTTTAAATAAATCAAGACTATCTATGCAATCAAGTCTTTCCACTGAATTTAGAAATTCGTTAATGAGAGGATTATAATCATCCTTAGAAAATAATAAATCTATGTTTTTGAAATCTTTATAAATATCCATGTTATTTTTACAAAAACATGGAGTCTTATTTATATGAATATCTTGATGCCATATAGAAAATTCAATATCAATCCATATAGAATGATTTAATATGTTGCTTGCAGTTAATAAATTGGATCGGTTATTGTGTTTACTTTGTAAGCTTTCTAACAACTTGAAATGAAGAGATGCCCAAGTTGGACTTAAGGAAAGTACATTTATTGTATTTGTAATTTCACTATTGATATTGAAAACATTCATTTTCATTTCTTCTAAAACAGTGTGATGTAAAAATAGATTCAAATCTATCGAAATATTTTGTAGCTCTTTACTTTTTAATATGTCTTCATAATTAAATTCGGTGCTTACTCTTAACAGTTTACTACAAAAATCATATGCAAATGATTTAAGTGAATCTTTCAATTCAACATTATCTGACTTAAATATGCTTATGCATAGATTAATTAGATTTTTTTCTGCAATTTTATCTAATTCATTTAACTCGACTAATGCTTCTAAGAAATGTTGTACAACATTACTAAAATCTAAAATATTTGTACAAATTGAATTTGTATAGGTGCTAAAAGTAATATTTAATATCACATTAATAGAATTCACTAATATTGATATTTGATTTGGCTGACTTAGTTTATTGAATTTTTTAATACCAGACGCTTTTATCAAACTTGTATAAAGATTTATTACTAACAGTTTTAGTTTAATATCACAATCACCTAATGTTTTATTTAAATGAGCATATATATTTTTGATCAACTCATCTTTTTTATTATACATAATTTGATAAGGCATCACAGTGGACATTATTGTTATGAGATGACCTTGCAGATCATAACTTGTCTCTTCTTTAGTAACGTTAAAGTCAATCGGACTTAAATCTAAATTAATTGATTTGCTTAAATTTTCATCAGGTACAAAATATCGAATGTGTTGTTTAGTAAAATGATAATTTGAATTGTTTTGTGCGAGTTGTATAAAACATTTGTAGTAATCTTTTACTATCAATTCAAATGTGGTAGGTGCTTTTGTATACAAGATATTCAAAATTCTAAGCTGTGCCGAAACGCTCTTATCATGTAACCTAAAACAAAAGTGCTAATTTTTACATCCATACTTCTACTATATAAATTACGTTTATTTACCTTTGGAGAGAATTACACCCTAGTATATAGAAGAAATGTCCTAACAACCAAGTAGTAAAACAATCAAATTTTTTTTGTTGGTTTTGATTGTTTACTTGAGTATCGACAGGTGCGATGAAGAATTGGCAAAAGTCTTGAGTTGAATCTTCAATAAAGTTTATCACACTTTCTAGAAGAGGCTCAGAATTTTCTATGTTGAGGTACAGTGGTTTCATTGTGTCATTAAACATTTTCCAGGTTGATAATATATGATTGAAATTGCTGTTTTGTTCTCCATCTTCGGTAGTTCCACAATCTTCGTCACTCATTGTGGATAAATTAATTGTTTTTAATTATCTATTATTTCACTTAAAAACACATCACAAAACACCACTTTGACAGTTCGTATTCAAACGCTTTTAAAACGAAATGTCTGAAAGAATGTGACAAGAACGAACGTGCTTGACTATATAAATTGTGGATCTTTGTAAAATTTATATTTAACTTTAATTATTATATCAAATACTGATAATAAAGAAAATAAAATAAGTTAGTGGGGTGCATGGCATCCCTTGAGGCGAATTGCTGGAACTTCCAGTACCGGAATTAAAAATCTTAGTACAGAATCCAAAAAAATTTACACAAAATGTGTACACATTATTAAAATACGCTTCTTTTATCTAATGTGTGTAAACATTATTAAAATCTCTATAAAATATCTGATAATTTGATGTACATATGTCCAATAAACATTTTTGACCGCCAAATGACATTTTTTAACTTATTTTTATTGAGAGTCCATAACATGATATACAAAAATGTATATTTTCCATTTTTTTGCAATTCCTACGGGAAGTTAATAAAATGAATGGGAATGGGAAACATTTTTTCCTTGTATTGAAAAAAAAGAGAAAAAAAAACTTCCTTGTATTGAAAAAATAATAATGCTAACAATGCAGAAACATTGAAAAAAGGTTATGAAAAGATTTGACCGATAGATACAAGAGAATTCTCTTTAATTAATTAATTAAATTAATATTCATTAATTTAAATTAATATTCATTTAAAAATAATTTTTTTTTTAAATTTTTCAACGCATATATAATCGTGGATAAAATCAACGAAAAAAGATTAAAAGTTTTTTTTAATGCTGACTTTCTTTCAATTTTAATATATTGCCATTTGTAGTAGCTAATCTTGTTTATTTTACTAAAAATTACTGATTTTTTATTTTTTTTATTTATCTAAAACAATTCACTGAAAATAAAGTGCTACTCAGATATATCTATATTTTATATGTATATATGACTCAGATATATCTATATTTTTCAGAAATTAAATCTTTCTGGAATTATGAAGAAAACCTGAAATTTATCTTTTTTTAAAAGTTATTAATCTGTAAAATTTAATCGTTAATCAAAGCAGAATTAAATTGATTTATATTGTAAATGATTAGTCTTGAAAAAAATATTTTGGTGGTCAAGAGTTTCAAACGCTATTAGAAAAAAATATATTATGGTTTCACATAAAAAATAATTTCTTCTCTAACAACATACACTTGAATAATTAGTAAGGAGTAATGATTTTTTTTATTTAGTATTTGATTAACTACATTATATGTTAAAATGCAAATTTACAAAAAAAAGTACATATTGTTTGAAGGTTTATTATGACCAAAATTAGTATAAGGTTTGAAACTAATATTGTAAAAATATATTTAAATTGCAAACATTTTCAGCTAAATACAACTATGATAATTTTTTGCTTTTTGATATAATGTATCAACTACTTTTCCCATATTTTGAATAGTTTCCAATGCCATTTCGTAAGTTTTGTCAACAGTGGATTCTTCAAAAACTATTAAAACTCCTTCGCCTTGATCTAGTATACCATGAAAATTTTTATCTAATATCATTTGGGACAACTTTTTTCAACTCTAGATTTTGGTAGATTTATGCATTGTGAAATATATGATACTTCAACTCGAGAATAAGGTTCAATGATTCGGCATAAATTTTGCTCCAACATTGTGTCATACAATGTCCCAAGATGAGCTCGTACAATTACATCTTGTTCTAACTGTGGTTTAAATCTTGCAAAGCATTTTGAAAATCAGCTAATGAACGTTTACTTGAAGCGCAGGCCACAGCTTTCATAGCTTCAATATCTTGTCCAGCATATTTTAAAGCTAACTTTCCACTAACAATTTGCTTGACTTCATCAGGACAATTCAACATAATCTTGCTTAACAACATATATTTAAGAGCAGTAAGAGCTTTAGGATTTTCTACACTGTCAAAACCTTCAAAAGCTTCATAGAAATATGAATATGAGGTTTTTAAAATCTCGTTCATCAGCTGCATGCAAAATACCCGATTGTAGATCCAAACTGGCTTGCATCTTTGGCGGACAGTAAATGGCATTGGCTGTCGTTCTTGCTGATGTCAACGCAGCCCTCGCCTTAGGTAAGTTACTTAATGCATGATACGTTTTGCTTTCAAGAAGTTGCACTTCGACGAGCAGATTTTTGTCATCGAGTTTTTTAAGTTCTTTTAATAGAGTAGACCC